CAAAGTTTAAAGATTTTACCTATTCTTCGCCGATTAGCACTTTAACACACTTCAATTCATCACAAGGAACACTCTTTCGCTCCATTTTCACTAAAATCTTTAAAAAAGCATACATTTTAAACTCGCAATAAATTATATATAATACATTCGCTCAAGCTCAACACACAATGTAAACTTTGAAATGTGGCGTGAACTTGCAAACATATCGTCGGCGTCGCCCGCGCGCCTCCGCTCTCGACTCACTTCATACCTAACGTGACCATACGTCCCACTCTAGGCGGGACGTTTTCGATTTAAAGGTTTGTGTCGCGCTGCCCCAAAATACGTAAAAATGTCCCGCTTTGACAAACAAAAGCGTGCCCGCGCGTTTTGCTTGTCTTGCTTGGTTTGCAAGCATGGCTTGACTAGTTACGTGATTATTCTGAAAAGCTACACTTTTGAATTTAAAGTTACGAAGTGACAATTTTTAATTAATCTATAATAATTTCAATTAGTATTTATTTGATGTTCAGAATTCACTTTTGATCGTTAAAAGATCGTTAGAAGATACAACTATGTGTTTTATTTATAAAACTATATTAAAGGGCTCCAGATTGAATTTTGATAACGGCGGCCATTCTCAACGGAAAATAGCCATCTGTGCATCTGGATTATATTGCCCAAGTGTAATACTACTGCTACTGAGAATTTTGTGACAGAAAAACCCAATAAATGATTCTTGACCCGACTCGGGTTTCGAACTTGGGACCACATGATCATCAATTGCGTTTACGACCATTAGACCAAGAAGGCAGTCAAAAGTGTTAAAACTATAATAATTTTAAAGGCATCCCGCTCTAAGGAAAAAATTAATAAGTAATGGTCACTAAAAAGCCGGGCTTTTTATCTCCATACTAATTGCTATTTATACAATCGTAGTTATATTTCATTATAGAACATTTTGCCACAAGTTAGAAAGGGAGCGATAGTCTTCTCGAAAGCCCGGTAAAAAGCTAAAAAGCCCACGCGTGCAAGAGAGATAACCAATCGCTCAATTCAACTCTCCTTATATGTGTGATAGCAGTATTCCTAAGGCTACGAGGTCGAACAGAGCGCGCGGAAAATTTGAAATAGTTTGAAAGACTTTACAAGTTATTTTATTACTTGATATTATTGATTCATTCAGCTTGATAAGGCAAGCCGGGCTTCTGGACTTCTATGGAGGCTTCGCCACTGCGAGAATGATTTAATCGTCATTTTATGTTAATAGGCATTTGATGGTTAACTCACCCTTTTTTAACTCACATACTTAAACTTTCAAATGTTCCAAACAAATGTCTTTACAAAATTGAACAGCCAAAGAGAAGCTACAAAACCCTGACTGACAACTTTATGGATGCCGATTTACTTTACACTCTGTCATAAGCCTTTTCCAAGTCTCAAAATGGTTTTTGGCAATATCTTCTCCGTAATTAAGTGTAGCAATAACAGATTTGGATATCGAATCTCCCATTGCTTAAATTACCAGCAAATATTAAAGAAAATGTACATTAGGTCTGCCACCATAACCTCTCGAGCCCTCCATTCACTTCATTTCATTTCAAGCATTTCTAATGATAAAATATAATAAATATCCTTATAATAAAAAATATAAATTTCTTTGCAACCTTCCGCTAAATAAATACAATGATGTGTCTTACCTTGATTGAAGAGCACCTCCCGTCCACCCTCAATTGCATCACTAACTCCATCACCACTAGTCCCAGAACCACACCACTATTCCAGGTAATACACACCATCGACGATAATACAACACGTGTTTCACCTCTACACAAGGCATCTTCAGGTAATGTAGACTCTACAGCGGCTGACCGCTAAGTGAGCGGCGAGCCGAAACAGCTGCTATTTATACACGCCGACACAATCGCTCCCCACCAAAGTAGCGAGTGACCGCGCCGCGCCACACAACACAAAGTTGCTCCTATCTGTTTGAAGTGGAAATCTCATTCAAAATATAGCCATTAAAATCTCATACAGCATTCATTCTAGGCTATTATGACTTTCTATAGCAGTTCTAATGAGTTTCCAGAACATTTAAATGCTTGTCTGGAAGTTTCCAGATAGCCTTCTATAATTATTTTCCATTCTATACTGTCTACTTCTTTTAATCTCTTATTTAGATGTCCTAAGACTGTCTTTTCCTTTCAAGTACCCCATTACCCCAACATAACATACTGTTATTCTAGTCATTACATTACTTCTATTTATTATTTTGTGATAGCATAATGAAAATGATTATAAATAATTTTTCGTTTTAATTTTCTTTTCCATCGTTTTTTTTTACGAACTATATCTTTCAGTCTGACTCATTGCTCTTCATCTTTATGATCCATTGGACTAAGTTGGTTACTTAAGTTCTACTGATATTTGTCACATTAATAACAAGTCTAAGTCCACTTCATTTATCCTTTAGAAACTTAATTTCGCCATACAAATAACATATCTCACTTGAATTAATAATTTTTGGTAACACATGCTGTCCGTTTTAAGATAGAGGAAAACTAGACAAGACGTAAAACTTCTATAGCCTACTTACTTGCGTTTAGGTGCAGGTGTCCATGGGCTAGTCACTTTAAATCTGGTGGAGTGTATACCATAGTGTTGTGAAAAGAAAATGTTATTGTAGACTTACCAACACATTCAATTGTATGCAATAAGGAATTTGGTATGCCATGGCCAGTTTCTTCAAAACAAGCTTTCAAAACTTTGAATTTCACTTCTAGACTTTCAAAATATGAATCAAGATTCAAGCCATGATCAGAACAAATTTTAAGGATTGTTTCATTTATATTTGCTGGGGGTTCCCAAGGTTTGTTTGGTCGGAGAAATCTGAAATTTATTTTCACTTTTTTATTAATTTGATTTTAATTAACATCAAGAATTAAGATTAATATTAGGCATGAAAATTACTATGTCAATTTTTTGTACCATTTGCAATGACGATTGGGCACAGGATTGAATATAGCAATTGTGTTATGGTAATTTCTCTGTAATCTTATTATTTACAATTTACTTTATATAATTAAAATATTTTTATAAATATAAATTTTAATAAGTATTTTTTTCTACAGATCAAATTAAATAATTGCATTCATTACTCATCATCAGATTATATTTAAAAAATATTTTTCTGAAACAACAACCTTTTAGCAGCAAACTCCCCCCCCCTTTTTTTTTAATTTTTTTTTTTTTTTTTAATTAAAAAAAAAAAAAATTAAATTTTATTTTTTTGTTTTTGTTTTTTTTTGTTTATTATAAACAAAAAAAAACCCAAAATTTTTTTTTTTTTTTGGTTAATTTAGAAAAAAAAAAAAAAAAAAAAAAAAAAAAAAAAAAAAAATTTTTTTTATTTATTTTGTGATTAAAAAAAAAAATCAGTGTAGGTGACTCAATTTGATTCAATGTTAAGGGAAGCCTGGTTTCAGCAGTGGACTTGTAATGGGCTGTAATAATGATAGTGATGGTGATCAGCGACAATCAAAGAGATTAAAATATATATTCTATAGAGAGGACATTGGGAACATTTGGATACAAAAACTGTGAGCTCGCATGTGTATTACACCCTTGAGTTAAACATATTAATACTACACTGAATATTTATAAGGAAAACATTTTAGCTATTCCCCATTAGGTGACACTACTAAATATAAGGTAAGAATCCACTTTAGGCATGTCGTCAATTACTACCATATTGGTAAATAAATAGTGACATTACTGGATAACAGAATGCGCTTATTACAATATTTTTTCTTTCTTCTAGAATTAACTACTAGAAATAATAAAATTTAAAGATAATTTGGTAAAAGTACATTATTCTTACGATAATAAACCAAAATCACATTCATTTTTTGCTCCATATCATGAATTACAATACCTTAATGCACAACTGGGCATATTTTCTTTAAAAATATTTTTTAAATTCATAAAATGAATGCGTCGTGACCTTCTGACGATGTCACTAAGACTAAATGACAAAAATCGAATATATATCCTAGAGGAAAATAGATACAGATGACAATTTTGTTACTGATGTCCGGTCTATTACTACTACTTAAATGTCTTTGGTAACTATAATTTATCCAGTTCTTTTTTAAGCGAGACTGTGTTGCAAATCGTATATATCTTAGAACCTTTGGAAAAAGGTAATTTGTTCAGCAAATTAACTCAAAAGATACCCTCTCGCAGCTAGAGATTCAGCAGCAGCCTGTAATTTTTTGTCAATTTTCGGGTAACGTTTCTGAGCATGTCTTATAATGTTTATCTGTAAGTAAATATATTAAAAATGAGAATTGTTTTCAAAAGAAAATTAAAATGTTACATGATCAAATATAAACATAACCTGAGAATTCGCGCGTGGTAAAGTGAACAACACTGTTTTAAGCATAGTGATAAAATGTTTTGATTACTAAATTAGGATTTATACTTAAATAGGATTAGAATAGAGGCGTAATATTAATATATTTTAGAGAAATAGGTACAAAGCAAAACGAAACCAAAGCCAAACGAAACTGACATTTTAAATGTCAAATTTTCTATTGTTTCATATCACGCTGATAAATATTTTTCTTAATTGGATTAAAATACTTCTTCAACTTGACTTTTATTTTGTTTCATAAACAATATATCTATCTATTAGCATGAAATTATTTTAGTTGTTATTGTTATATGGTATAAAGTGACTGGTAGAAAAATTATTTAAATACAAAATATATTAATAATCTCAAGTGGAAGCGTAAAAACGGAACGTTTGAATGTTTCTGGACAAAATTAGTACATATTTCTACCGCTACTGGCAGCACCATCGGCTTGGGTTGTTGTTTCCTATCCGCCATTTTCCAGTCGCCATTGAAAGGTGAAAACTTCACTGAATGTCGGTGATGATTTTAAGATTTTGAGTGGTTTCTTTAAGATTGAACCCGTTCTTAGTGTTGTGAAATGAAAATGAAGTGCCCTGGACTACCATGACGCATCAAAACCACCAAACAAACGGTGCTAGCCTCGAGGATTGCCACACAAACTTCTTCGCCTTGGTAAGTCACTTTTACATTGATGAAAGAAGTCGTAGGTACTTTTCTTTCGAAATCATTGTGATTATCATGATAATATTACTGCGTTGTATTGTTTTACTACGTCATGTTGAACTTTATGTGGTTTTTATTGATTCCACGTTATCCAAACGGTTCAGTTATCGTCAACGTACGTTGATATACAAAAATCACCTTAATGTAATATGGGTATGGAATCGATCTATCGCTTTAACTTTTTTGTACGGCATAATCAATCCATGATCGGTTAATGACGCTCAGCCGTTAGTCATCCTGGCATCGTACTCCAAACAGAGGAGTCATGTCGCGTTGCTAACCCACTAAATATCATCGTATTCGGTAAGCGAGGCCACAAGAAGCCATCGGTCCATAGAGGTCATTTTGAATTCACCTGGCCGTAACGTAATGCGTTCGCAAGACTAGTTTTGCCAGGTCGAGGAAATAACTTTCTTATTACTTACATTCTTACGGCCGCACTCGGCTCTATACTGCGATATAATGTGATTGTGAGAATGTTTGGGTATTTAGACGCGGTCGGGTCATTCATTATCGCCGTGTTGTAGTGTGGAGTCGCTTTGCGTAACGTTTATAGCTGGCGCGAATTTTATCAGATTGTATTCGGGTGAGGATTAGCGGCGGGTGGATCAGTGGAGTGAGGAGGGGGTTTGAGAGGACGGGTGGGGGCGCTCGGTTGTCCTCGGCGGAGAGCAACTCGGCGCCATTTCCACGGTTCCACCTGACGCGTTGCTATATCTCCGCGCTGCGGTGCGGCGGCGCGCGCCTCCTGCAACTGTCTCCCTCACCGCTCCGCCTATCTCCGCGATACAAATTACTGATTTCTTGCCTTGCTTGCATATTGTCTAATTATTTATGCGTCGTTTGCGGACAATGCGCCTTTTGTCGAATGGAATTCTCCCACTCACATCGGCCGAACGGAATCGGTGACGCATCGGACTCCTAGGCTGACATTGCGCCGAGTTCAATACACTCCGGCTCTTTGGTAGATCGCACTCGCATCAACTTTTTATACCAATTGCACCAACCAAAACATGAACAAGCCTCGGATGATTTTATTCACACAAGAATATGGTCAAGTTGTGTTCCAAAGAATTTAAGTTTGTAATCTTTTTATATCGCTCCTTTTTACCTCGATTTACGGGAATATGTAACTCCATAATACACGAATAAATAATCTCTTAGTAGTTTTAAACTAAAAGCTGTTTACGAATATTGCCAAATACTTAAATTTTAATGTTGTGATCCTGAATTTAAATGTCACCTTCGACCTCTTAAAAATGTACATCCGCGCCATAGATTACAATGATAAATAATCAATAGATCTTATATATATAATTTTTTAGTAGTGCTTATAAAGGACTGTGATGTCCCAATCATTCTATTTAAATCGCACCAAAAAAGGTGCGTAATGTACCCAAACAAAACTATAGTTTTACTTTGGAATGCAGAATTCGTAGTACAGCTGTTGCTAGGGGGCGGGTTACAGTATCTTGTACTTGTCTCACTCCAGCGCGCCTTGCCTCTTTCCGTGCGATAAAGACCATACGACACGTGAGATTTTTTCGCGCGCTTTATTACAGATATAAAGTTGCTTACTTGTGTTTATGTGTATCTGTATCAACTATCAATACCAAAAAATTAAACATATTCTTTGATTTGTTAGTATTGATTGTCACGTTTTTCATTTGTCTTACAAATTATTCTAAAATAATTAAACTGTCTATTTTAGAATAAGTAATGAAAGTAGTCATTCCAGGCAAGGAAGGTCTAACTCCTTACGTAAAATAAATATCCAATAGTTATCAACTTCTAGACATAAAATTTTCTATGCAGCTTTGAGCTTGTTACAAACTGGAATGTGTCTTTTGTATCATAATAATGTAGGTACTTCAAAGCTATCATACAGCAAATATGTAATAATATTTTTGTTTTTACTTTCCGTTTTCAAATTTTCCAGCAGTTTGTTATTTTATTGTAATTGTCATAAATTTGTTGTAGGTGAACCGATTTTGATGTTCTCATTTTATTTATATGAAGTCAGTTTACAAAAATTTTAATTTTACCATTTGTTAATGCGCTATTTCGATTTTCGACTACGACCGCTTTCTAACATTTAAACAGATGGCTAGATCACTCACTTGCATCTATTGACTACTTGCGTGTTTTATCAGGTCGTCGCTCCATCTAATGGAAGAATAAGAATATCCACTAGTGTAAAAAAATTACAGGGTTCCCCAAACAACAAAAAAAAAAAACCCCCCCCCCCCCCCCCCCCCCCGTCCCCCCAAAACCGGTACATTTTTACCAGATGCTAAGACTCTCTTTTCTGCTTATGAGCCCGTCGGGGTAGATGCCACCCTGTCACCAGTTCATGCTGTTAAACAACAATGCGTGAGGTCATGAATGTAAACGAACAAATGTTCTGCGTTTCACATCTGAGCCCACTCGAGCATTATGTGGTTTGAAAGGCCAGGGGATAATCAAAATTAAACAGTTACATCAAAAACATCATTCCCATTTTTCACCCTTCTAGACTTTAAAAAAATTAAAGTGGGACACCACTCTTGGGGTAAAGCCTATTTAATCAAGTCACTAAACAATGATTTACGAACATATCGCGTTACATATTTACTAACAAACATACAATCGAATTGAAACCTCTTTGTACCTAATGTAAAAGTAATAAAAGTACAGTGTATGTACGTTCCACTGCCGGGCACTGCACAAGTCTTACCTCACTTCTGAGAGGGTTATGGTGCAATTCCATGTAGTCAACATTATTTGCTTAATGTACATGCAGACAGTAAAATGACATAATATATTGCATTAAAGTTTACAGTAATTAATGATTATGGATTAAGGAAAATTATCTTAAAAGTTACAAACAATGCACAAATATATGTGCGCTAAAATGTACAAACTAAACAGACAAAACTCCGTTTATATAATTATATAAGTTTTTAAGTTAGTAATTAGTTATTAAGTTAGTAAGAAATTATGTAAGTTTCAACATTAAACACAGTTAACTTAAGGCGTACATTACACGCTCATGCAGGCGTCAATCAATTCCATCAATCATGATTGATAAAAACGGATGGTGACTGATAGGCGTACATTATGCGCTCATGCAGGCGTCAATCACTCCATTACACGTTAGGTTATTTGTCAATCAGAACCGTGATTTTTGTAAAACTGACAGCCTGCATGAGCGTGTAATGTACGCCCAAGATCTGTAGAGCAATAGTCGTGGCAGCTCAGGAACATAACCGTCGCCGTATATTTACATACGTTTCGCGATTATACCGAGTTTGGTTTTCGCCGGCACTAAACAGATTGTAATTTAAGTGCTGAATTATATTATATACGTGGTAGAGTCACGCTGCAGCTATATTATGGTTGTAGCATGAATGGGGCGGCTCGACCGGTAAAGGACCACACTCTCACAGAATACCAGCGTAAAATAGCAGCTTAATACTGCTGTGTTTCGTAAGGTGAGTGTAAGAGAGTGTAGAGATTTTTTTACTGGAAACGAGGTATTCCATCCTAGTCCTCATGGGTGACAACGCATCTGCGTTTCGATTCTTAATCCAGGATAAATATAGATGTACGTAGACTGTGTGTACGAGTGTCACCCTTATTTTATAAAAAAACGTGCTTGGTAGTGAAAGAAAATATCGTGGAGAAACCTGCACGTCTTGTGGAGTCTGCGAACACGTACTGGAGCAATGAGGCGGATTCATTGCTCAATAACCCTCTTAGTGATGTAAGGAAATCTGTGTCCAGCTGTGGGACGATATATAGGCTCTAACTCACGACGTACAATGTCACAAGTGCAATCGAAAAATGGGATATTATTTCAAGAAACGAGTGATTTGAAGTATATTTGAAAGTCTTTTTAGGTACATATATAGAATTAATGTGACAAATAAACCCAAAGTGCACCTGATGCTAAGTGGATGGTGTGGCACATATACCTATTACTAGTGAGAACTAACATGGAATGTCCTGTTACCGTTTAAAAGGGTCTTCATTAACATACATTTCCGAATATGTCGACATTTTGTAGTAAGTTAATGATGTACATTATCGCTACCATGAGTGGGCTTTTGTTGATGAAAAATGTGAAAAAGTATTAAAATATTTCTTCATCTTCCAAGCGTAACGGACCTTATCCATAAATATTTAGAGCAGGAGGTAGGTAGGTAGGTGCAGTAACTTCTGTAGAGGTCGAGGTCAGTGCGCGCGCGCTCTGCAGTCCGTTTAGGCCGGCCACATATATACGGAATTCCGTTTCGGGATTCAATTTCGATATTCCGATTCGGAATTTCGAACGCAGCAAGTTCATATAAAATCAATGATCCATCTCACACCTACGGTATTTTTTCGTTCGAAATTTTGCGGACAAAACGGGATTAGGTATGTGTGTTTCCGACCCGTTTGCATTTTAGATTCCGAAACGGAATTTCGAAACAGAATTCCGTATGTATGTATGGCCGTAATCTGTAAGAGCGTTCTCATGTGAGCAGTCGCGCAATGTGTTTCCTCCTCCCTGCTATGATTTTGGTTTTTTATTTGCATCAGCATCGAATAAGTAAAATTAAAATCGTAATTTTTCACCTTGCAATGATTACTCTATACAATTTATTTTTTATTCTTGTGACCTCGAAGAAAAATTACTTGTTATAAATAAAAATAATATACATTTTAATTAAATGCCAGGACAGATGGACACTTATTATTCTTAGAAATGGTTATTTATATGTATATCTTATTAGAATGGAAATAACTCCCTGAGCCTAATAAAAACCGCTTATTTCGATATTACAGACACTTAAATTTTATTTACATGTATATAGATTTAAACATAGACTGGCTGATTATTGATATAATTCTACTTACAACCTGAAAACAAATTATTTTGGATGCTAACCAATTATCAGGAGTGTCCGTCACTTGTATACAATTTC